AAAGCAAAAAAAAAACCCTTAAACTCATTGCCATTAAGTCTAAACCGACTCATAGCTCACCCTCCAACAGGTTTTCAGAGGCTGTAAATCACAGGTGAGGAGAGTGTCCATCTTTTTCCTGAGGAGCAGCTGGTGAATTTGAACTGTCTGACCTTTGGCTAGAAGAACAAGTCCCTCCCCTCTAGGCTACCAGAGAACATCAAGATAGATGGAGAAAAGGTGGAAGTTGTCAATGAGTTCATTTTACTTGGATTCACAATCAACACCCTTGGTAGTAGCAGTTAGGAAATCTGCTGTCAGAGACCTATGCAAAGTTCTAAAGAGCAAAGATGTCAGCTGAAAGACTAAGGTGTGCCTTCTCTGAGCCATGCATTTTCAGACAATGATTAAGGAAGATTGCAGAAGAATCTATTCCTTTGAATTGTAGTGTTGTCAAAGTATTTTTAAAGAGTACTCTGCCAACTGACAAAAGAAAAACCAAGTGGGGCTTTGTAGGAAGTGCAACCAGAGTGCTTCTTAGAGCAAGGTTAGTAAAACTTCGTCTCACTTACTTTGGGCATCTTTCCAGAAGAAACCAGTCCCTAAAGACATCATGCTAGAAGAGGTAGCGGGTCAGAAAAAGGGAGGAAGAGCAAAATGAGATGAGTTATGCAGTGACTACACACTGGGCTTGAGCATGACAGAGATTGTGAAGATGGTTCAGGACAGTACAAAATTCTGATCTGTGGTTCACAGGAGTCACAGTTCACTTACTGGCATCTAACAACAACAATAACAATGAGTTTACCCTTACTGTTTTGCAAGTAATTTTAACTACAACTTACAAAATGTAGTTGAGATTCATGTATGTCATTTGTTTACATTTTCTTGTTAGTTCTTAAATAGAAATGTAAACCAACAGAGAAGAGGTATTTTCAATCTAAAGCATATTGACTAGAAACCAAATTAACCATTCAAAAAATGCACAAAAATTTTTATTGTGATGTGGGTGAAAGTTTGAAGAGAAGATTAATTTTCCATTCAGCAATGAACACACATTTTGTTCTGTGACATTGATTATAATCCCCACAAGATAACAACACTCTTCCCACTTCTACCTTGTGTTTACCATTTCCTTCTTTTCTATTGCCAGTGATTTTTGAGCATTTCTTGATGTGTCTGTTGGCCATCTGAATGTCTTTCCCAATTTTGTAATTGGATCATCAGTCTTTTTCTTGTGATGGCTCTGTAGGATTCTGTACACTTTTGATATGAGACCCTTGTCCAAGATGGTATTGTTGTTGTTGTTATGTGCTGTTGAGTCACTTGCAACTCATAGTGACCCAATATACAACAACTCTAAACTCTGCTCTATCCTGATTACTCCAGTCACTGAGTCAATCCATCTCATCGAGGGTCTTCCTCTCTTGAGTTGTCCCTCCCCACTCCCAAGCATAATATCCCTCTCCGAGGACTGGTACCTCCTTGCAACATGCCCAAAGTATGTTAGACAGAACTTCAGAATCTTTGCCTCACAAGTAGCAGTCTAGTTTCACCCTCTCTAGGACAAACATATTTGTCCTCTTAACAGTCCATAGTATATTCAATACTCTTCTCCAGCACCACAGCTCAAAGGCATCAATTCTCTTTCTATCATCCCTAGTCATTGTCCAGCTTTTTGATGCATAGCATGTAACTGTGAAGACTATGACCTGGATCAGGTGCACCTTAGTCTCCAGACTGACATCGTTGATCTTCAGTGCCCTGGAGATGTCCCTGACAGCAGATTTTCCCAATACAATTCATCTTTTGATTTCCTGGCTGCTGGTACCACAAATGTTGATTGTGGAGCCAAGCAAACTGAAGTTGTTAACAATCTTAACCTCTTCACCATCCATCATGGTACTGCTAATCAACCCAGTGTTGAGATCCTTGTTTTCTTGATGTTGAGGTAAATGTTTTTTCCTCAGTCAATAGGTTTTCTTTTCAGTCTGTTGGAAAATCTTGTTGATACACACAGGGATTTAATCTTTAGAAGGTTCCACTTATCAATTTTATCCTCTTCTGTTTGTGTATTTCTGGCTGTATTGGTCAGCCTTTTTAGACCATGAGTTAGGTCTTCTAAGCTAGGTCCTATTTTATTTCTTATGATCTTTATGGTTTGGGGATTTACCCCTAGGTCTCTATCCACCTTGAGTAGATTTTTGTGTATGAGGAGAGATGTTCAGCCTCTCTTTAAAAAATATCTTTAGTTTTGTTCCACATTTTTCTTCCATTCTATCCAGGATCTCCTATTGTGATCTTTTTCTGAGTGATGAGCAGCAGTAGTCTGGCACCATCCAGTTCTTCTGGTTCTTCTTCAGGGAAGTTTACAAGATCCATTAGGCCTTTGAATAAATTGTTTCCTTGCATCTTATATTTTCTTCCCTCTGGTGGGGGAAGATATCAATGGTTAGATGTTAAAGGCTTCTCACTAAATAGACCATTTTACTTAGAACACTCTGTGTCTCATTACCAGACTAGGGTCTTCACATTGGAGTCTTAAGAGCCTTCTGTTTGTCCAGTCACCTACACTAGAGAAGTCCCAGTCAGCTCAGAGAGGAAAATATAACAAATGCTCTGACTTAGGAATTGAGAACTTGTGGAGAAGCATTGAGGAGGAGACTTGGCATGCTGGGGAAACTGCTAGGCTACAATTAAAAATAGAAAATGTTGATGGTTCCAATCCACTAGTTGTCAGAAGAGAGATGTGCAGTCAACATCCATTAAAGAGTTCTGTTCTGTCCTATTAGGGAGTTCTACTGGCACAGGCGACTGGGGGGTGCACTGCTAACCTGCAGAGGGAGCCTCTCTGGCTGTTGGAACCCACCCCTGGCTCCCTGGGAGAAACATGGGTGATCTCCTTCCATGAGATTTAAAACCTCTAAAAACCCGCTTAAAGGGTCAGCTATGAGCCAGTTCTGACATGATTCACAGGCCATGAGTTTAGTTGACTCTGGCCTATTGGTTGCTAGGAGTGAGGCGGGCTTGGTTTTAAGGGCAAGAAGACAGAAGAATAGTGCACACCCATCTTTATTGCTGTTTTGTTCACAATATCAAATAGTTGGAAATAGTCCAAGTGTCCATCAAAAAAACAAATGGTAGAGAAACTGTTGTATATTCACACTATGGAATATTATGCAGCACTGAAAAACAAAGAACTCATGAAATATTATACAAAATGGGTAGCCATGGAGGACATTATGCTGAGTGAAATATCTCAGTCACAAAAAGACAAATACTGTACAATGCCACTGTTACAGAACAGGACTGATATGGATGTTGGGGAAAAACTAAAAAAGAGGTGATATAAATGTGCATGGCATTGGAACAGAGGAGGGAGAAAACTGTATAAAAGGAACTTATGATTGGGTATTACTGGCATGACAGGAGTCCAGAATAAGAGTTACATTGTAAAGTGGGGAGGGATAACAATGTTATGTTAACTGTAAAACAATGAAAGAACTTTTTTTCTCCAAAGAAAAAAGCGAACTGGGAGGGAAGGGGACAGGGAGGAAAATATGTAACAATGAATGAATGGAAATTTTTAAAAAAGGAACAAAAAATATGTTCAAATCTGTTAATACCAAATGAGAGAGAGAGAGAGAGAGAGAGAGAACGATTTGAGGTCCCATGCTATCTTTTTTGCCTGTGGAACCGTCCTTGTGGCACCAGGTGGCGCTGTGGCCGGGCCGTGGGTCTTTGGGCAGCTGCGGGTGTGACCATGATCTGCAAACCTGGACCACAACGTGCACTTTGCGGATGTTCCCACGCTCGGTTCTCTTGGCTCAGGGGGATGGTGGTCTGATGATACCCATTTTGCTGAAGAGTGAAGGCACTTACCAAGTCAGATGCCCAAAAGTCAGAACTGGGCTTTGAACCTAGGACTCTTATCTCTGATTCTGCACCCTGAACCTTTTCGCCCTTGATTCGTAACTGAGACCCTGCATTGCACGTGTGTGTGTGTGTGTGTGTGTGTGTGTGTGTGTGTGTGTGTGTGTAAGAACTGATGTTTCTCCCACTAAGACCTCCTCTCCCTTCTTCAAAAACATCACTTGCCCACATTGTACACTCATTTCTGGTAACTCCTCTCTATGTCCACCTCAGGCACAATCCTGCTCCTTCCCTCCAAGATCCCCTGAGCATCCTGCCCACCCACCCCTCACTGCTTCTCCCCACAGTTCTGATCCAGCCCTGCCCTCCCCTGCTGGGCCCCTCCCAAGGCTGCACAGAACCAGAGGAGAACAAGATGGAATTCAGAATTCATACACGGCTTCAACTTGTGCCTTTCTTTTTCTTGCTCCCAGGAAGGTCACATCCTAGGGAAAGCGATGTTAGGAGGGACCAGTATTACATACTATATTCACTCCCTTGTCCTCACCCCCTCCACACACACAGCCTGGGAAACACACACACATACACCCTCGCTCTCATATAAACACATTCCCACCCATGCCCATGTGGTCAGTCTCAGCATGATCTGGAATTTCAGGTTCATAAATCACTTTGGAGGGGAACTTACAAAAAATCATTCCTCTAACCTGGTCTGCCCATTTGGCCTTTGGTCCCCTCCCCTGAGCACTTCCCCTCCTCCCTGGTACATTGGTTCAAGGAGGGGCCTGTGCGTATATAGAAAGCCACAGTGGCCAGAGAGGCTTCAGGCAGAGAAGGTGAGGAGGGGTCTGGAGGTCTGGCTGCAGCCCCCAGGAGCAGGGACTGGTGATGGGAAGGCCTGGAGCTCAGGGAGGGGACAGCTTTGAGTGCTCATGCTTTGCCTGAGCTTTGGTTTCCTCTTCTGTAAAATGGGTCTCAGATTAGCATTTACCAGCAGGGTTGTAGGCAAGAGATCTGGATGCAGTAGAGACTCAGAAGCAAGACCTGGAAGTGGGACCATGAAGGGAAGGAAGTGGGTTGAGGGGATCTTCCCTCCTATCCTAGCCTCTACCCAGCCTCCTTCCTGCTCTTCTGTCCCAGGCAGGACCATGGCTTCTGCAGCGGCCGAGGCAGAGAAAGGATCTCCATTTGTGGTGGGGCTGCTGGTTGTGGGCAATATCATTATTCTGGTGAGACCTCCCCACCCCCAGTACCATGGTGTTAAATGGACGTGGGAGCTCTGGTAGCTTAGACTGTAGAGTGTTGTGCTGTTGATGAAAAAAGCTGAGAGTCACCAGCGGTTCAAATCCACCAGGGGCAGCTCTTTGGGAGAAAAATTGATAGGTCTCCTCTTATTAAAAGTTATCTTGGAAATCCAATAGAAGATGATTAGGAATAGGAAAAGGAGCTCTGGTGGCCTAGTGGTAAGGAGCTGTACTAATAACTCAAACGCACATGGTTTGAATCCACCAGCTGCTCATTGGGAAGAAAGATGGGCATTCTCCACCTATGTGGTTTATAGCCTCTGAAAACCTGCTGGAGGGGCAGCTGGGAGTCAATTCTGATTTGAAAGCACAGAACAATAGGAGTAGGAAACAGCTCAATGGCAGTGTCCAAGTTAATGGGTATATGGCAAAATAGGGGCAAATTTGAGCCTGGGGTGGGATCAGGGCCCAGAACTCTCCCCAGCAAGCCAGTGCTGCAGACTCTTCAGTTAAAGCCGTACAGACTGGAACCCCAATGCCACCTCCCCCTGGCATTCATCCAAGAGATTGCCCATCTTTCTCTCACAGAGCAGCTGAGGGTTCGAACTGTCTGCCTCTGGATTGGTAACTCTTTACCACTAGGTCATCAGTGTTCTCTGAGTGGTAACTATATGTTTTGGTCTACGTGGGAATTTTGTTTCTTTTTAAAGTGAGTACATGCGCATGGCTCTGGAGTTAGACAGCTGAGGTTCAAATCCTGCCTCCTCCATTTTCCTACATATGTGAATTAGAGTCAATGACAACCTCTCTAGGCCTCTGTTTTATTTGCAAGGTGCTGTGAGAATGAAATAGATTGTTGAACTAATGAGTATATAATAGTGACACCTCAGTCCTCTCTATATTGGTCTTAATAATACTGGTAAAAAAGATGGATGATCTCCTTCCAGGTATTTACAGCCTCAGAAACCTGGAGGGTCAGCGAAGTTGGTTCTGATTCAGCAATGATGCAGCAGTGAGAGAGAGACATCGCAATGGTACTGCATAATAATTGTTGTTGTTAGGTGCCGACTCTGTGAACAACAGATCAGAGCTTGGTCCTATCCTGCACCATCCCACAATCTCTCTCGTGCTCTGTCCATTGCTGCAGTCACTGTGTCCAACCCATCTCATTGTCTTCCTCTTTGTTGCTGACTGCCCTTCCCCTGCACGATGTCTTCTTCCAAGGACTGACCCTTCCTGACAACATGCCCGAAGTGTGAGGTTGAATGTCACCATCCTTGCCTCTAAGGGGCACTGAGTTGGCACTGCTTCCAAGACAGCTTTGTTTGTTCTGGCAGGCCGTGGGGCATGCGGCGCTCTCCTCCAACACCACAATTCAAAGGCACCAATTCTTCTTTGGTCTTCCTTTTCTTACATGCTGTTCAACTTTCAGATGCACAGGAAGCAAATGAAAAGGCAATGGCTTTGGTCAGGTGCACCCTAGTCTTTAAAGTAACATCTTAATCAAAGCAATTCCTTAGACTCAGACTTGCTGAGTGCTATCGAGTTGGAGCCGATCCATAGCTGACTCCCTAGCAGGTTTTCAGAGGCAGTAAATTGCTCGAGAGGAGATTGCCATCTTTTTACTGTGAAGCAGCTGGTGGATTCAAACAATGTACCTTTGTGTTGGCATTGCAATTCCTTACCACTAAGCCACCAGCGCTCCCTTTAGACTCAATAGTAAGTGCTATGTTATATTATATTATATATTATGATTATTTTTGTTTGTTTGATTTTTATGTTAAGAAAAATTAGTATTTAGAATTAGCCAGCTGGACTCAGGTTAGATAATCCCAATTTTGTTGGCAACATACAAAGCATCATAGTCAAGTCGAACAAGCCTTCTTCTCTCTATCAGGCCTAATCAAGATGTTGACCTTGGCCACATCATTGTCATAGAACTTCTTTACAGCTTGTTTGATTTGGTATTTGTTGGCCTTGACATCCACAATGAACACAAATGTGTTGTTATTTTCTGTCTTCTTTATGGTCAGGGGAAACATGATGATGGCATAGTGGTCAAACTTGTTTGTTCTGGGGATATTTGGGATGCCTTCAGAGTCTTAGGCTGCCTGAAGTGGGTGACATGCGGATCTTTTTTTTTTTTAATTTTTTGTGTGTATCATCAAATTGGATCTGACTGGTACAGGAGGAGATTGTCCCTCCTCCAGCAGAGCATCTAGTGGATTTGAACTGCTCACCTCTGGAATTGCAGTGCAGCTTCTTGCCACTAGGCCACCAGAGCTCTCAGATCTTCTTTTTTGTTGTTGTGGATGCACTGTAGGACGGCCTTCTTGGCCTTTAATGCCTTTGCTTTGGCTTTAGTTTTGGGAGGGCAGGGGGTTCCTTCTTAGCTTTCTGCACCATTTTCATATAAAAGAACATACTTTACTATTGTTGTAATATGCCATCAAGTTGCCTGTGACTCATAGCCTGAACCCTGTTCTATACTGAGTCAGTCTTACTGTCTCCGACACACCTACCCCCATTACCCCAGTTACTGTGTCAATCCCTCTCATTCAGGGTCTTCCTCTCCTGCACTGTCCCTCCACCCTCCCAAGCATGATGTCTTTCTCCAAGGACTGGTCCCTCTTGGCCATATACTTAAAGTATGTGAGAGACAGCTTCAAAATCCTTGCCTCCAAGGAGCAGCATGGTTTCACCCTCTCCAGGATAAATCCATTTGTTCTCTTGGCGGTCCATGGTATGTTCAATACTCTTCTTCAGCACCACAACTCAAAGGCTTCAATTCTTCTTCTGTCATCTTTGGTCATTGCCCAGCTCTGTGATGCATAGCAAGTAATGTGAAGACCATGGCCTGGATCAGGCGCACCTGAGTCTCCAGATAGACATTGTTGCTCTTTGGGACTTTTGAGAGGTCCCTCCTTCCTTCCTATCCCTCACCCCTATGGGTAACTTGATTTTTAGCTTCTCCAGTATTACTTTAGGCAAATAGAAATGTACAGACACATCTATTCCAAAATGTCGCTCATTTCACATCCCCACTTCCCCCCTAGTGGTCCAGCCTGTGGGTCACTCCACTCCACATCGCCCTCATTCCTGATCATGTCCACAGCTGTGCAGTATCCACCTGGTTTTCTGGCCCCAGTGCCCACAGTGCTGCAGGGAAGGACCCTGTGGGCTTGTAAAGAAGGACTATTAGTGTTTTCATTTCCTGTAAGCAGTTGTGTCTCTATCACATAGATTGCTGAGAACTGCTGAATCCAAGAATGGATTTATTTGCAATTTTCAAATTTAATAACAACACTGTTAAGGGCAAGCGAGTCTACCCAGTGTTCCCCCGTCCAGGCAGGTGCTCCAGGCTTCGCTGTGGCATCTCCCCTCAGCCAGCCCCCCACCCCCCCCCAAGTGCTGGGAGAGTGATGGCTTTGTTGCTGTTATTCTGTTTATTTGACTAAGAAGAGGGCAGTGGACACTCAGTGAATCACCATTCACGGAGCCGCTGGCCCTGAGTGGCACTTTCTAACAGGCTTCTCTGTCCAGTTGTCAGGCCTGGCCCTGTTTGCCGAGACTGTATGGGTGACAGCTGACCAGTATCGCATGTACCCGCTGATGGGGGTCTCGGGCAAGGATGACGTCTTCGCCGGTGCCTGGATTGCCATCTTCTGTGGCTTCTCCTTCTTCGTGGTGGCCAGCTTCGGTGTGGGCGCTGCGCTCTGCCGTCGTCGCTCCATGATCCTACTGGTGAGATCCTGAAAGCAGGGGCGGGGATGAAATGGCGCTGTGACCCTCATCCCCTCATCGCAGAGTCTGGGTGATGAGCCCCGCCTGCTGGCCCTGCTCGCCAGGACAGCTCACTCAGACACGGGCATCATTGCTTGCAATTTCCCAATGACCCCAAGTTCTGCTGATGGCCTTGTTTTGCAAAGAAGAGAATTAGGGCACAGGAAAAGAGGGGCACTGGCCAGGACAATGCCCTTCCTCTGTAGTGGGGCTGGGATTTGACCCTCAGCTAGTCTATTTCCAGAGTCTGTGCTCATGAAATCTTTCAACAACAGCAGCAGTAACAACAGTGCAGGCAGCATTTGCCAAGTGCTCACTACCTATTGTTCTAAATGGTTTTGGGGTGTTTTTTTTGTGGATGAGTCCACTTACTGTCATAGACTGCTATGAGCCAAGTATTATTATTGTTACAATGAGTTCATTTAGCAGATATTGAAACTGAGTCTCAGAGAAGCCACTTAGTCAGGGTCACACAACAAACAAGTGACAGAGCTGGGATGTGAACCCAAGCAATTCAGCTCTTGAGTCTGGGCTCTTAACTTCTGCCAACAGCCCACAGTGTCACATGCTTAACACCAGGCTATGTGATTTAGACACATGAGCTCCCTGAGCCCTTCCAGGTGCCCTCAGCGCTGAGTGCTTTACCAGATGAGGCCAGCCCACATGGTTGAAAGAAAAGGGCTTCCAGTCCCAGCCTGTCTGACCTGTCTGTCCTTCCTCTACAATAGGGGACCTTTTAGACGCCCAAAACAAATCCACCTCTCCAGCAGGTTTTCTGAGGCTGTAAGTTGTGTGGGAAGAGATAGCCCATATTTCTCCTGAAAGATAGCTCATCCAGCCTTCCAGGGCAAAAAAATGCCCCAAACTGCTGTTGAGTTGATTTCAGCTCATGGTGACCCGCTGGCCTCAGTTACTGAGGATGTCAATGTTGACTAGAGGAGATTACCCATCTGTCTGTCTCCCACTGAGGAGCTGGTGGGTTTGAACCACGAACCTTTGGATGGGCAGTTCAATACATAACACACTGGCTGCATATTTCACAAATGCCTGCTGAATACAAACCCTGTGCCCTGAGGCTCTGGTAATACACAAACCACATTCAAACATGAGTTCTGTTGGAGGAGACAGTGACTGGGAAGGGGAATGCGGAGGGTGAAGGGAAAGGGAGGGTCTCACAACCAAAGTAAACACCTGAAGGAGTCCTGCATGGATGTGTCTGGGGAAAGGTGTTTCAGGAAGAGGGAAGAGGAAGGAATTTAGAGGCTGTGTGGCTGGACTAAGGGAAGTAGGGCAGGAAGGAGGAGGGAGGAGAAGAGTCCATGGGGGTGGGGAAGGGAAGGCAGTAGGGGCTACAAAGTGAGGGGAGCAAAGATGTGAGGGGACTGTGGACGTGTTGGTGAGGACTGCGGCTCTGCCTTGAGTAAAATGGCGTTATTTGCGGTTGAGTTGGAACTAACTCATAGCTGACCCTTCTGCGGGTTTTAAAATCACACAGGAGGAAATTACTCGTCTTTCTCCAGTTGGTGGATTCGAACTACACACCTTTGTGTTGGAAGCACACAACTCCTTACCCCTAAGCCACCAGAATTCCTCTCCTTAAATTGAGATAGTGGATCTGAGAGGCTCAGCTTTGGGTTAGTAGCAAAACTCCCTGCCTGCCAGCCACCAGAACGCTTTGCTGGTTTGGCTTTTGAGATTGTGTGGGTGTTTTTGTTCGGAGTTATTGTTTTGGAGGTTTTTTTGGCGGGATGGTTGTGGATTTTTTGAGAGAGCTTCATCTATAGGAGAGCTTTTTCTTTGTTTGAAAAAAAAAAACAACCCCAAACCATCTTGCTTATTCTCTGTCACAAAAATTTAACCAAAACTACGAAAATTCACCCAACTACTTTTTAGAAAGGGAGCTCTCTCAGCTTAGTCCCTTGCGCCCTGCCTCTCCTGCAGCTGCGTCCCCCCCTGTTTGGTTTACGGAGGTGGGAACCCCTTGGAGGGTTAGGTGAGTCCTGCACCTCGACTGCAGTGAGAGAGAGAAAAAAAAAGTTTTCCACTAGACTGACCGAGTGAGCGCAGAGCGGGCCTCCTCTTTACCCGGCTCCGTTCCGACAGCCCCAGCCCGGGACCGCAGCACCTCGTCCCTCTGCTGGTCCCCAACCCCCCACTGGAAAACAAATTCCAAACATCAAACCATTCAGCTTGTAAATATTTGAGTGCACATTTCCATTCAGCTTGTAGATATTTGAGTGCACATTTCTTGGGGCGATGAGGACGTTGTTTTAAAGCAGTCGAGCTTGTTCCGCTTTCCCCACCGGCTGGGGCGAGCCTTCCGCACCCGCAGGCCTGTCGCAGCCGCAGGCCAGGGCTCCCTGAGTCTCTGGGTGAGGGGTGAAAACAGGAGCTTACTTTTCATTTAGCAGCAACTAAGGAACTGCTTTTAAAAGTACAACGACCCCGTCATAGGGAGCTCTGGTCCGCAGAGAACTGTGCTGCTAACCCAAACATGGCTCTTCTCTGCAAGCCCACGAGCCCACGAGCGGCTCTGGGTGGGCAATTTCCTCCGGTGAGGTTGACAGTTGCCGAGAACCTGCTGGAGGGTCGTTTCTGACTCCATTGCAATGGACTTGCGCAAAGGACTATGTCATTGGCATGCTTTGCAAAATGATCCCTAATTTCTGGACATTTGTTAATACCGTTTGATGGTAGGTGACCTCATCTCCTATTTATATTGGTAAGAAGCTTGCACTGCAATCCTGAAAGCACATGGTTCGAATCCACCAGCTGCTTCTGGGAGAAGGCTGGGCAGTTTCCTCCCACCCCACTTACTGCTTCTGAAAAGCCAGTGAAAGGTCAGCTGTGGGTCAGCACGCAACAACATAACACCTCTGATCTTGTGCCATTTTCAACATGTTGGTTTTCCAGGGCCCAGCCTGTGCACGGTGACACTGTCACAAAGGGCTCAAGTGTGTCACAGGTGTGAGCATGGCACAGGATAGGGCAGGTTCAGATCTGCTGTTCACTACGTACTTGGCTCTATGATGCCTAACAACAATAACAATCCGTGCTTACATCTAATTGTCTGGAGAATGTATCTGTTATTTCCTTTGCTTTTGGTAACGTGCATTTACTCTAATGATTGCAAGTCTACCAGGAATTTATCCAAAGAACAAACAAATCTGTATTGAAAGAGGTGCTAACTGCATGTGCTGCTTAGAGGCGAGGATGGTGAGACCTTGTCTCACACACTGTGGGCATGTTGTCAGGTGGGACCAGTCTCTGAAGAAGGACATTGTACTTGGGTGACGAGGGTCAGCCACAAAGAGAAAGATCCTCCAAGAGAAGGCGTGGTCTTTTGTATACATTTTACTAGCCCTGTAGTTTACTTGAAAGTTACATTTCTGCTTACAGATATGCCCTTCAGAAGGTGGGATTTCATGGGCCTTTTCCTGACATGATGGGGCTCTGGTGGCTTAGGCCTTGTGGAGTTGTGCTGGTCTCCCAAAGGGTGATCCTCTCCAGTGCTTCAAATCCACCAGCGGCTCCAAGGGAGGAAGATGGGCAGTCTCCTCCCGTGTGATCTCCAGCCTCTGGAACCCACCGGAGCATCAGCTCTGAGTGGTCCTGAGCTTTCCCTGCTGACTGCCCCTTCCTCCTCTCTCCAGTACCTGGTGCTCATGCTCATCGTCTACATCTTTGAATGTGCATCTTGCATCACATCCTACACCCATCGAGACTACGTGAGCCAGAGGAGGGGTCAGAGATTATGTGAGCCAGATGAGGGGAGTCAGAGATTACATGAACCAGGGGAGGGGCTTCAGAGACGACTGAGAGCCAGGGGAGGAGGGGAGGAGATTATATGAGCCAGATGAGGGGGATCAGAGATTATGAGAGCCAGAAGAGGGGGTCAGAGAGTATGAGCCAGAGGAGGGGATGGGACTCTATTGGGGGTGGGGAAGTGCGTAGGGTCCAGGCTTGAAGAAAAACACCCTCCTTTCCCACCCAGTCTCGCCAGACCTTGTTCTTCCTGTCCCTTTGCAGATGGTGTCCAACCCATCCCTGATCACCAAGCAGATGCTGACGTTCTACAGTGCAGACACAGACCAGGGCCAGGAGCTGACCCGCCTCTGGGACCGCATCATGATTGAGGTGGGCCAGCATGGGCAGGAGGAGGCAGTGGTGGCTCAGTGGTAGAATTTTTACTTCCATGCGAGAGACCCAGGTTCAATTCCTAGCCAGTGCATCTCACAATGCCACCAAACATCAGTGGACGTTCCAGCAGAGCTTCCTGATTAGGAGGAAAGACCTGGCAATCTGCTTGTGAAGATCAGCCATTAAAACTGCCCATAGGATATCCCAGGACATGGGGGTGGTGTGGCCAGGTCCAGTTTGTCCCTCCATATTTTGTGGCCTCAGGTGAGTGGCTGCCCTTTCTGAACCCAAACCTGCCTGTCCCCCACCTCTCTCTCCAGCAAGAGTGCTGTGGCACCTCGGGGCCCATGGATTGGGTGAACTATACATCAGCCTTCCGGACGTCCACTCCAGAGGTGGTCTTCCCCTGGCCCCCCCTCTGCTGCCGCCGGACGGCCAACTTCATCCCGCTTAATGAGGAGGGCTGCCGCGTGGGCCATCTGGACTACCTGTTCATCAGAGTATGTGCCCCTGTTCTGTGGACCTGCCACCTGGCCCTCTGCTTCCTGTGCCTCCATGCTCCCTGCCCCCCACCCTGCCCCGGCTCTCCTGGCTCGCCTCCCTCCTCCTCTTCCTCTCCCTCCTGTCCAGCTCTCCCAACTGGGCACCTTCCTGGTTCTCCCTTCTTCTCACTGTTTGTCTATCTTTTTCTGGTTCTATGTCTCTCTTTTTGAGTCTGACTCTCTTTCCTTGTCTCTTTCTTGGCCTTTGGTCTGTCCCGCCCACCTTCTTCTATCTTTTTCTATCTTCTCCCCATCCCATCACCTTCTTCCTTCAATCTGATTTTCTCATCCCGCCTTCCTTCTCTGGTGGCCTGGTGGGTAGGAAGTTGTACTGCCAACTCAAAGGTCAACAATTCAGCTGCTCCTTGGAACAGAGATGGGCAGCCTCCTCTTCTGATTTACGTCCCCTCAAAACCCACTGGAGGGCCAGGTCTGACTTGAGCTGGTTCCCTCTCAACAGCAAGGTTGTTCTTATTAGGTGCAGTCAAGTCGGCCATGACTCACAGGGGCCGTAGGACTGACAGATCTGAGCCTTGCCCTGTCCTAGGCCATTCTGAATCGCCATCTCTGGCAAACTTGAGTCCACTGATACAGCCGCTGTGTCAGCCCCTCTCTTTGAGGGTCTTCCTCTCCTTTTTT